TTTATTTTTCGAAAGGCAGATCAGATTTATGGAGAGGAGAGACAGAGAGAATTATCTTCTATCCAATGGTTCACTCCCCAAGCAGCCACAATGGGTGAAGCTGAACTGACCTGAAACCAGGAGCCAGGAGCTTTGTCCAGGTCTCCCACATGGGTGCAGGGTCCCAAGGCTTTGGGCTGTCCTCGACTGCTTTCCCAGGCCATAAGCAGGGAGCTGGATGGGGAATGGAGCAGCCAGGATTAGAACTGGCACCCCTATGGGATCCTGGTGCATGCAAAGTAAGGATTTAGCCACTAGAGTATGGTGCCGGGCTCTTGTAGTGACGCTTAATAAGATTCAAATTTGAGCTCAATATCTTTCCTCCATACCCCTACCCTCAAAAAAACTCCTTCTCCACTTGGTTGATATCTGTGTACCCAGCTTTCCGGATGTATTCAAACTATTGCTTCTGGATTTGCTATCTCTGTTCTTATCCTTTCGCCCACATTCATGAGCTCACCAGATCCTGACAAATGAACTTCAAAGATGGCTCCAGAGCAGTAGCACGTCCTTGCCGGCTCTCACTAGCCTTGCTTTGACAGAACAGGCGGGCACAGCAGCCCCCTTCCTTCGGGCAGTCAGCCCTGCCCACTGCCTGCAGCTTCCCACTCACAGTCAGCCAGGTGCCGAGAGTCCCCAGAACGGGACAGCGGGCCACCCTCCTGCCCCTTCTATGCACTGTTCCGTGGCCGTTCCCAAGATGCTGAGCATTTGCTTTGGCCCTCCGTCCCGCTGTCTGGAATGCTGGCAAATGTCCGGGGATCCTGAAGACCCTGCTGCCCTGGAACCTATCATCAACTATTAGCTCCAATTTTAAAAAAATCACCCTGTGGGCATGGCTAATTCCTATGCTAGATGGTAACTGTCCTACTTAATGCTTATCATGATGCTTATTCAGTACATATGATCTTCATGTCCAGGGCTTTGGGAGCATTTTTAAATGATTTTTTTAAATTATTTTAAAAATTATTTTGTGAAAAGTACCCTTCCTCACATATGACTTATTGTGGTCTGGAAGGGAGGGACCCGTAGGGTGGATAAAGAATGGAATAATCCATATTTCTTGTTGATCTCCAAAGATGGTTCTAATTTACTGTTTAAACAAAGCAGTGTTGTGCAAAGGAATGGAGTAATACCCTCAGCAAATCAGACTACGCACTGCCGCCTTCTTTTGTGCAGTTCAGATACAAGGTACCATGACTGGGCAGCTTGCACGCTAAGGCATTCTTTGGATTTTTAAACAGGACCATCCTTTTCTAGTTTCTCCGCCTTGTGGAAGAGCATTCTCACCTTCTAGTTGGTCCTTTAGTGTTTTCCTTCACAAAGCAAGCCTTTCCTGAAGAGCTTGTAGAGAAGTCCATGGTTTCGCAGCTGTTCTGTAAATGATCTACTTCATTCATCTGATAAGTTTCTGTGTCTGCATAGAGCAAGTGAATCCAGTCCTTTCGGGTTTGTTGAAAAGGGTTCACTGAAAAAGGGAAAGTGAGTGGGGTGTTGTAAAGGACGTTGGCAGCTCAATAGCGCAGAACAAGGTGTGATTTCTGGGACTTTCCATTCAGCAGTAACTACCCCGAACACCTTGTATGCGACGCGAAGGGGGAACTGGAAAAGCCTGCCTTAAACCTGCACACACCACAACCCTGACCTTGCTTGAAAGTGCTGTCTGCCAGGGTTCTCCACTGTGAAGTTACCATTTTTTCTCACTTTAAATATAAAGATGTATTTATTTGGGGGGAAATGCCATGAGACCATGTAAATATCCTGTTTCTTCTTCAGCCTGCCTGCACTAATTTGGGAATCCTAGTTGGATCCTTACTGTGTGACTGCCATGGTGCCTTTTCTCTTTCCTTCATTTCTTCTACATTTGGTAATTGGAATTGTTCTAATAAGGAAGATATGCCCATTTCCTTTACATATGTTGTTTATTACATCTATGTGGGCTGAAAGGATTGATTTTATTGTTTGGATTTTGATCCCTACTGTTATTTGCTTCGTTGCTTGGATCGCTCCAGTTTGTGCCACTGGGAGATCCTGCCTCCTGTGTCCCATTGCTGTGCCCACCATTGGTGGTGAGATTTTTACATTTCTGTGGAAAGCTCATCAGAAGCACAGTATAATGAGTATCTTTTGCAAAGCACTCAGCATGTAATTTATATTAATGTAAAGATGATATTAAAGGTTATCAAAGCAAACTATCATCCATTACATGCAAATTACAGATGTCAAGTCCGAGTACTGAGAGAGAGCAGGTGTGACAGCCTTAAGTGCAGAGAGGCAGGGGCTCCGCCACCATCAGTCTTCATCCAGCGCGGAGCAGTGGCGCCTTCTAATCCCGTGACAGCAGTTTGAGTGTGACAGCTCAGACACTTTGCACTCCTCAAATATCTGCTCTTTCTGATAGACATGGGAGTTCAGTGAGAGTAAAATGTGCAATTGAACATGAGGATACTTTAAAAGTTCATGGAGAAACAGAACAAATATTGCACTGAAAAACGTTTTGACATCTAATTTTTTGCACCAAAACAAGCTTGTCTTTGTTATATTTGCCAAAAATTTCTTTAAGTACCTTCAGAAAATTGTTTATCTAGAAAGATTCATGAAATGGGCTGACGTAATTTGAATTACTGCATTAACTAGTCTCTTACAAATGTAAGAGGGAAGCAGGGCAAGGAATTACTCATGTATTGTCAGCAGCTGGACTGCAGTCTTGATTTCACTGGCCTTGTGCTGGTCAGCAAAAGTTTCTCAAAGGAAAAATGAAAGGACAATAGAAACAATTCAGCAGAACTGAACAGAGTGGAGAACTGTAATGTTCATTTGTAACAAACAGAAACGATAAGGATCTATACTGGTTTTGAATAGAAGTGACATGACAGTTTAGTTAAGGCAGTACAATGAGAACCCAGCTCAGGAATTTTTTTCCAAGTTGTCCTTCTGTGGGGAAAATGGCACATCTATCCATGCTTGGGGTATGGATGCAGGACTCTGGTCCAACAGGAAGGAAGTATGCGCTGAAACAGACCACAGTCAAAGCAAGGCTTAAAACTTGAAGCCGGCTGGATGCACCTGTGTGAAGCTGGAACAACTCCTAACTCCCCCGGGTAGGTTGGAGAGGTGAATAAGCTGCAAGCTGCTTGATTTTGTTTTAAACCCTGCAGAGTTCGGGTGCTATCCGGCTGGCTTAGGTGTGTAGGCCTGTGGGAATGCAGCTGCCCAGACACTGCTAAGTGAAGCCCCGGCATGCCTGGCGCGGCTATAATTGAGCACTCATCCCTGCCTTCAACACGTTGATTCTTCTTAGAAATAGTTATTTATCCAAAAAGCAAAGAGACCAAAAGAGAGGCAAGTAGTGAGTGAAGCCTTTTCCCCAAATGGCCTACAGTGGCTTGGGACCGAACCCGGCCGTGGGAATTCAATCCATTTATCCAAGGCGGTGGCAGGGACTCAAGTATTTGAGCCTTTTCGGCTGCTTCCCGGAGTGCGCCTTAGCAGGAAGCTGGAGTCAGAGCCAGAGCTCGCCTTGGCAAGCCTGCTTCAGAACCCCTGTGTGGAACATCAGGCTGACGCTCCACACCGCCGCTCCCTGCAACCCTTCTGATGCTTAATTTCCGTGTTCTTTACCCCAATTTCCATGTTCTGCATTGCGGCCCCCGGCCTGCCATGGGCGTGAGCGGTGTTTCCTGTCTATTAGCCTCCTGTTCGGACAGCATTTACAGAGATGCCGACACCGGTCGCTTGTCGGCAACACCTTCACTTTTTTTTTTTAAGCTGACAAAAGTTCTCAGTGCATTTTTTCCCACAGAAATCCTACAGTGCAGCCAGTTTGCAAGCGTTGCCCATCATCATCATCATAGGTGACGTACAGACAGTGCTTTATGTGGTAGGGCCAGCTTTTCCATGTCACCTTTGGGTGCACTAACCGTCAGCCTTGTCCATTTGCAGGGGTCATCTCGCGATTGTCTCAGCTTTCAATGACAGAAAGCCTGGTGTTTCACTCTCTTCCTACCAGCAGATGGTGGAAAGGGAAAATGAGCTAGCGGCCAGCTGATGGCTGTGGAGGCAGACACAGCGTGTATGGTGAAAGGTGTGGTGCGGAAGGAACCCACAAAGGCACCTGAGCATCGCCCAGGTATTGCCACGCTCTGTGCTTGGCTCTTAGCGCCCGCTCAAAGGTCGGCTGGCCAGTTTGGGGTCTCAGAATTGCACAGTGACGCCTGTTGCAGAGGGGCTAGTCCTTGCTTCAGTGGATTTCTTGCAACATTATTGAGCAAATGAGCCTCACCTGGCCTGGGCACTGGCCGCGGGGTTAAGGGGGTCTTTGAGACGCTCCAGACCCGCCCTTCTCCAGCCTTTCCCCGTGGCCGTCGGTCCACCTGCTCCGCGCGGAAATCGCACCTGGCAGGCCTGGCTTCCCACGCTTCCCACGCTGCAGCGAGGGAGCCTTTCTCCTCTCTTCCCGATGTGAGCCTTAGCCAGGGCTGCGACTCCCCGGGGTCACCGGCCAGCGCTCTCCGCAGGTGTTCGGCCCCTCCCGGGTCCCTGGTCTTCTCCATCCTTCCCCCTCCCTGCCCCCAGCCCGTTCTGCACCTCGCGCCGCCCCTCCCGGCCCGCCTCCTCCTGCTTCTCCACGTGCCGCTCGGGCCCGACGACCCCTCCCCCACGGACCCCCACTCCTCTCCGGTCTCGAGGACTCTCGCGGCATTTCCCGGGGCGTGAGCCGCACCGCCGCGCGCGGAGCCCGGTCCCTCGGGAGCCTCCGCCGCAGGGACGCCCCCGGCGCGGCCCCGCCCCAGCCCCGCCCCGGCCCTGCCGCGCGCCCCCGGCAGGCGGAGCCGCTGCTGGAGCCTGGCGGCGCTGGCGAGCAGAGGCGGGGGGAGCGGGCGGTGCGGCCGCGGCTGCCGGGCGGTGAGCTCCGCTGGGCTGGGCTGGGAGGCGCTTTTTTTTTTTTTTCGCAATTTCCACTCGCGGGGAGCAGGAAACCCAGCGCAGCCGGGCGCAGTGGGCCGCGATGCAGCAGGAGCAGCGGCAGCAGCAGCAGGAGTCGCCCCGGGGCAGCAGCGGCAGCGGCAGCAGCGGGCGGCGCTAAGCCGTCACCGCCGCCGAAGGAGCCGGCCCAGCCCCCGCCGCGTCCCGACCCCCGCGCCGCGAACCCTGCGCCCCGACCCCCGGCGCCCCAATCCCAACGCCCGCGTCCGCCAACTTTCACGCTGCCTCGGCGGCCCGGCCCGGCTCGACGCCAATGGGTGAGTAGGGGGCCGCCCACGCCGGGCGCCCACCCTGACTGGCGGAGCGGCGCGCCCATCCAGGGATCCTGGAGCCGGGGAGGGCGCCCCGAGGCCCGGGCCCGGGCGGGTGACGCTGTGAGGGCGCCCTTGCCCGCCTCGTGCCCCCTCGCTCCCACTTGCGCCCGTGTCCCCGACAAGCCGGTGCGCGCGCCGACGGAAACCCACGGGGGCCTGGCCGGAGGACCGCGGGGGCTGCTCGGGGCTCCGGGAGCTCCGGGATGCAGGGGGTGTGGTTGGCTTTTCGGGGGGCGGGGAGAGTTTTGTCTGGGTTATTTTCTCACCCCAGCCGTCCTGCTCTGCGCTACGGACGCAGGTACCCAGAGCTGGTGGGCTCCAGCCCCGCGCGGCTCTCTCCCCCGGGGCTGGGGGGCTCGCAGTTGGCCACAGGGGGCTGGCGGCCTTGGGGGTGGGGCGGGAAACGCCCCAGGATCCCGGCTGGAGCGCCGTCGCGGACTCGGGAGCGCCAGCCGCGCCTCCTTCCACGGCGGCTTGCCTCGGGCCCAGTGCCCTCTCCGGCTCTGCTGCTGCCTGGCGAGCTCTCAGCCCCAGGACGCTCCGCGGCCACTGCCCACCCACCCCCTCCTCTAAGTCTGCGGGAGCGGGGAGCTGGGAAGGCTGGGCCAGTGCTGGATTGAGCAGGCAAGCATCACTTCCGAATAGGCAGCTAAGTGTGGGCCCTCAGGGTCCCTACTGGCCATAGACGCCCGAATCGTGGAACCCCCGCCTGGCTGCCCAGAGGCTCTGGCGTTTGAGTGGGCGTGGGACTTGGGGTTGTTCCTCGGTTGGTGCACCCGAGGAAGATTGTTGCTGCCAGTCCGCGCCTGTTTTTCATGCCTCTGCCAGATTATTTTTGGGTGTTTCTAGGCCAAGCCGAGGAAGGCTGCCGATTATAACACAGCACAATGAAGCGAGACGTTTGTGTGTTGAGATAGGGTAACGCGATTTGGGCGCACCAGCCAGAGGCAGCTAGCAGTCAGGATGCTCAGGCAGGCGAGCCCTGCAAAATCGGACGCTCAACCTCGTCAGCTGTTGACAGGCAAAGTTAAAATCTCACTGGTGGCCATTTGTCAAAAACGGTTTTCCTCCTCCGAAGTGGTGGTGATGTGACGGGCTCTTGGCATACCCGTCTCCTTCTCCACAGTGCCCTGCTCCGACCCCCATACCACCTCCAGTCGGAATCAGTTCCTGTGTCCTGTCTCACGTAGCTTCTCTTTTTTTTTTTTTTTTTCCGCAGCAGCCTAATATGTTGAACATTTTCCTCCTCCTGTGAGCGCTGTGACCTCAGGGACGGGGCCGTGTTGCACCATTTTGGTCAGTACTGTTTTCTCTGGTGCCTGACACACAGCAGGGCCTGAACAAATACTTAGTGAATGAATGAGTGAGCAAGGGCCACGAAAAGCTGCCACTCTGTGAAGACAAAGCAAGTTCGCTGGCCCTTGTTTGGCTTGGCTCCGGTAAGCAGATACAGTTTAGTAACACAAGTATTTACTTCAAACACTGTAGGTCACTTTCGTAAGGGATTAACTTCCCCTGGGGTAACCAGAATTTCTGTTTGATGACCCCTTGTTTTGGTTGGCTCACTGAGAGTGTTACACACAAAAGGAAGTTCCATGCAAATGTCTTGTCCCTTGACCAGAAGGTACTTCCTGCGGGCAGGTGGGAAGCCGACTGTGTGAGCTGAAGGATGCTCACGTAGTTGAGTGGGAAGCAGGACGAGTCCCTGCTGAACAAGAAACTGACCTGTTCATTGTTCAGGTCTGAACTGCTGCATTTCTCAGACTTACTTAAGAAAACGAGAGAGTGCTTCTGCACTTGATAGTTTTTCAAGCTTAATCATTATTTTGATTTTTTTTTTAATTTGTAACTATTGCTGGTGGTAGGCAGGCAGACATTTATTTTCATGGATTTCAGGAGTTTATATCCAGAGGTGATAAGATTGAGATGAATGTTGGCGTCACTCTGCTGCTTACAGCGAGGTTGATGGTGTTCATGGCAAATAGCGCCTGTTCTTTCTGTGGACATGGTGAGCATTGTCTGTGACGGAGTGCAGATATTTCACAGGTGCTTCTGTGCTCCAGCAGCGCTGGGGTTGTGCAGGCACATGTAGAGCCGTGCCTCCTCTCCTCCTGCTCTCGCTGTTGCCAGATTTAGCCAGTGTTTCAATTGAGTACACTTGCGTTCTTACCTGGACTGCCAGTGACTTCTGCTGATGGATCTAATACAATAAGACTGTGTCCTATAGTCTTTGATCTTTAAAAAAAAACAAAAAGAAGTGAAAAACATCAAACCTCTAAGTGTGAAATGAAGCTGGCTAGTTTAAATGGTAAGGTTTTACAAGAGCCCCCCACAATGCACCCTCTGAGCTTACTGGGAGATTTCTACCGTGCCAGACGCGGGGAAAGCCTCTTAAAATTCCAAGGGCACAGATGACCCAAATCTGGGAGTAGTGAAGGATTTGCCAGGACTTTCTACTTAAAGAATGTGTGAGTAACAACAAAGTTTGGGTATTTTAGCAGTGTATTGTATGGGAGGTGGAATGCTTTGTGCTGAATGAGAGCTAGTATGAATGCTGCCTGCTGCCCCACAAATGTCTTGAGTTTGTAGGGAAGAAACGGCACCCATCTGACTGCGTCACCTTTGCCTCATGCCCATCAGGGCCCGAGCAGACCCTGCTCTTGTCCTGGTGGCCCAGCTCTCGGTTGGTTCTCCTTTGCCACTCTGCTTTTTCCATTACTGACATTCTCTCATCAACTCTTGCATTTGCAGTTGTTTTACAGTGTGTCACTATGGTCAGCATTTGTCCGTTTGTCCTTTCATGCAGCGTTTATTGACTCTCTGCTTTGTGCCAGGCACTGTAGCAGGAACAGGTACAAAGCAGACACAGGCTTGCCAGCGTGTGAGAGACGGGGCTGACGTTGTGGCACAGTACGTTAAGCTGCTGCCTGAAACACTGGTGTCCTGTTCCACATGGGGCTGGTTCACTGCTGAACCAGCTGCTTCGTGCTAATGGCTTGGGAAAGCAGTGAAGGGTGGCATGGGTGCTTGGGCTGCTGTGTTCCTATTGGAGGCCCTGGGAAATGCTCCTGCCCGCTGTCTTTAGTCTGACCCACCCACGCTGTTGTGGCCATTTCCGGAGTGAACCAGTGGATTGAAGATTTTTTCTATTTATATCTCCCCCTCTCTCTATGAACTCTGCCATGTCAAATAAAGATAAACAAATCCTTAAAAATGAAGGCTAGAAAGGGATGAGGAGGTTGTGCTTGAGCCCAAATGTGAAGGTGGAGTATGAGTCATTGGTGTCATCCACTAGCAGCCCGGCCCCCCACCTCTGCCCCAAGGAGTGAACTGGAGAGGAAGGAGGCATGTTTTTTTCTTGCTGCTGGGAGGGAGTGTGCAAGGAGGGCTGCCCCACAGGCTTCACCCTGGGGAGTGCAGGCTGGGTGGTGGGGAGCGGGTATGGGCTCCAGGTGGGGGCCGTTCTCTCCAGGCAGCTGCCAGTCACGCCAGCCAGGGCTGGGGCTTGCGCGGCCTCACTTGTGGTTTGGACGAGGTTCGTGTTTTGTCCAGGCTCCAACAGGCTCCAGACTGGTCTGGGGTCTTGTGACATCCTGGTCACAGCATGTCCTCTCCTGAGAGGGGCGCTCCGGGCAGTTGCTTCTGTCTGGCAGGGCACCCAGACCCTGGCTGGGCTGTGAGTGCCAGGCCATCTACCGGGGGTGGGGGAGGAGGGGGCAGGGCCGATTGTTTCTTTCTCCCTCTCAGTTAGGTGATGAGAAGGGGTAGGGAGCAGATGGTGCTGCACGAGAGTAGCGTTCTAGATATATTCTGTGGCTACTTTCTCAATTTCAGCTAGCCCTGGTCTGTTGCTGTAGAATGTCACACAATAGGAACTGATGAATGCTCTCTACCAGGGCAAGAGATGCCGTGACAAAGAGCAGGGTGCTGAGAACTAAGTCAGGCAGAAGGAAAATCCTAGGACGCATAGGTCCGCAGATAGAGGGCAGCCTGTCTGTGATACAGTTATTCTGAGTGTGGCCCTTTGCAGCAGAGCTACTCCGTAAGGGCCTGTAGGAGTGGGACTCAGCAATCCTCCTTTCCGTGAGCCCTCCAGGAGCTTCTGATGGGTGTCATTCCTTCACGGATGAGAACGCGTGGTTCACACATGGCACAAGGCTCCCCCATGCAGAACTGTCCTGTGTTCTAACAGCCCCGAGCACATTCCAGACCACACCTCCGCCCTGGGCACGAGTGACATGAGTCAGCCCATCTCCACGTTAGGCACCTGGCGTGTCAGCCCAGCTCTACCCACCATCCTTTTCTATCTGTTTTAGAAAGGACTTTAGCAATACGTTGGCATTATTCAGGTGTTAGATATTTGGTACTGATTTTCTATACTTGATATGTCAATTCCTGAAGCTTTAATTCGGGGAATGGCAGATGCTTTGAGGTTCAAGGTTGTTAACTTGCTTCTCACTGTTGTTTGGCTCCCTCACGGTTTTGCCTTCCTCGGGGGATGTGTTTCTGTGCTGAATCCGGCTGCTCACATGTTGGGCCCTGGAATGGAGGGCTCGTTGGCAGCCCATGCCGGTGGATGATAGACGGCTTCTGCAGGGCAGTCACAGGGTCTCCTAGCGGCAGGGCCTGACGGCCTTTCGGTGTGACAACCAGCCCTGCCCAGCTTCCGAAGGGGCTTAAGAACTGGGCTGCTGCTCGCCCACCTGGCGAGGTTCTTTTCTTAGGGCTTGTTTGTTTTTTTGCAGCTGATATGAGATATAATACACGTACCATTTTAAGTGTGCAAGTCAGTGGGCTTTGATGTATTACGTTATTAATTTAAAAAATTATGGTCAAGTATATGTATAAATTTTCCATTTCAGCCATTTCAAGTGTACAGTTCAGTGGTGGTAAGTATGTTCATAATGCTCAGCAGCTATCAGCATTTACAGTTTTATCAACTT